AGCTAACACTAAACTGCTAAAAACTAAATTAGCAGAAGCTAATGCTAAACCAATAAAAACAAAATTAGCAGAAGCTAACACTAAACCACTAAAAACTAAATTAGTGGAAGCTAACACTAAACCACTAAAAACTAAATTAGTGGAAGCTAACACTAAACCACTAAAAACTAAATTGGTGGAAGCTAACACTAAACCACTAAAAACTAAATTAGTGGAAGCTAACACTAAACCACTAAAAACTAAATTAGTGGAAGCTAACACTAAACTGCTGAAAATACTTTGCTTGTTTTCAGTGTTGATTTGTTTTATTATTTTTGGCCCCTCATGTACAGCACTTTGTGTCTGCAGCCGCTGTTTTAAAGCACTTTATAAATAAAGTTGATTTGAATTGAATGAGCTGAAGGTTTTGTTAAATAATTGGTTGAAACGAGGAACGAGTTTCATGTTGAAAAACGTGAAAGAAAAGTGTTTGATCTAAAGAAAAACAAGTTTTAATCTCAATCTGAGATTAGATACTTGTGTTTCTGCTACAGTAACAATGCTGACTCAGCATTTTATATGTTACTGTCAGCTGTTTCTCCATGAGTCTGATGGTCAACAGAAAGTCAGGTTTYCAGTCAGACTGCAGCTCAGGCTCCATGTTGCAGCAGCAGAGACTCGTCATCTGGTTTGAGTTTGTGCAGCAGCAGCAGTGTTTCTCAGTAAAGAGAAAACWGATTATTCCACGACAGCGGAGGCGCAGAGCTCCCCTCCCTGCAGATTTCTCCTGACGAGCTCTTAAATGACTTCCAGGAAAACGCCGGCGGGTCGCTCGGCGTTGGGTTTCACTCCTGATCCAGCTGCTGGAGCGCCGCCTGCGTTCCAAACACAAAAACACAGAACATTTACATGGTTTTTTTTTCTGTCCCTGCAGTTTTCCCCCATCTGACCAGCTGCGTCTCCTCCAGCCTGGAGACCTTCCACTGCCGATGGACCGCCGGGACTTTCCAGAACCTCTCGGCACCGGGACAGCTGCGCTTGTTCTACTTTAACAGAATGTAAGGGACGGGTCCGGCCCCCCACAACAGATTTATGAGAGTTTTCCTGCACTTTGAAGGGACTCAGAGGTGAAAGGTCAGCTGCAGGAAGAGGGCTTGAAGCCAGAGGGGGAAAACATTTTGAACAAAAGAGTCGACGTTCAGGTTTGATAMGTGTGAAAACAGAAAAGGTGACCTCGTGGATTTGTAGTTTCTGACCCAACAGATGAGTGAAAACCGGTCCGATCTGATGAAAACCAGCCCTGTTGACTCAACCCTTATCTGACGCACGGAGGAGCCGTGTTGACAAACCAAAGTCCGGTCCAGGCTTTCTGCTGGAATCACTGAAGCTACAGGAAGGGATTAAAAAAGTTCCAATAACCAAACATGAACCCAAATCTGTTTGTTGAAAWGATTATAGGGATACTTTGAGTTTTTTGGAACATCTCTCTGGAGAATCAGGCGTCTCAGTTTTGACTCAGGCACTAAAAACTAGTCTGGTATCTTCAAGAACCTGGTAGCAAAATCTCCAGGAAGACGTTGCTCTGGTCTCCTGCTGGACGCCGACTGTTGGTAACAGTCAGAGCAAGTGGGGGTCGCTGCAGTACATGTTGTCTTGTGGGCAGAGACGGCCCTACCTGTGATTGGTGGAGGTTTTGATGTGGGTGGAGTTTTCCCTAACTGTGATTGGTCAGATTGACATGTCTTGTGGGACAACTTAAAAGATGAAGTAATAATAGTAAAATAGGATTTATTGACTGTCTAGGTACAGTTTAAAACAAAACAATGACTCAAATAAAATTTTATGTGAAAATGTAAACATAATTTGACTTAAATTTCGTACGGCAAGCTTCTTCCTGTCTCAAATTATGACTAATATACATATTCAGATTTTTGGCTATGTTTTTATGGGCTGGTTAGGGATGCTCAGACTGAAGTCCCTCCACATGTACAACGTTCAAATTTCGTGCAGCTAGCACCTTCCTTCCTCAAGTTATGACTAAAATTATCTTAGAAAACATGTTGCTTCCTGCCCGACTCGACCAAGCTACTCCACGAGTAGGACCGTCTCCGCCCACATCAAGACCTCTGCCAATCACGAGTATGACTGTCCCCGCCCACATCAAGACCTCTGCCAATCACGAGTACGACTGTCCCCGCCCACATCAAGACCTCCACCAATCAAGAATAGAGCCGTCCCCGCCCACATCAAGACCTCCACCAATCACGAGTAGGGCCGTCCCCGCCCACATCAAGACCTCCGCCAATCACGAGTAGGGCTGTCCCCGCCCACATCAAGACCTCCACCAATCAAGAATAGAGCCGTCCCCGCCCACATCAAGACCTCCACCAATCATGAGTAGAGCCATCTCTGCCCACAAAACTGCAAAGACCCTCTTGTCAGTCAGAGATACGTTTTCACCAATAAAAGTCAGGTTCCTCTGAGCATCCAACAGGTTGTTTCGCTGTAATTTAGTMTCAGACTTCTTTGACTCGTGGAAACTGAACTGAGATCAGGTCCAGACGTATTTTTGAACACCTTCAGGACGTGACTCGTAGGAGAACGTGCAGRACCTTCACGAGTCTTTTCAGACGGTCTGAGAACTCTGTTACAGTTTTAATCCAACCGTCGCAGCCCAGCGAGATTCAAGCCGTCAGGTTGGATTTTTGTGACGTTTTACGTCGATGATCTCGTCCTTAATGTCTGACAGCTCGTCAGGGTTTAGTGTAGAAATCAGAGGCAGCATCAGTTATTTTATAATCATTTCTGCTGACTGATGCTGTTAGCAGGAGCTGGCTTCTCAGCTGTGGTGCATTCACTGACCAGGATAATGTCTGATTTTTGAGTGTCAGGTTAGTTGAAACCAGCCGACTGATTGTTGCATCCTGCTGTTTTCAGGATCGATTCATTAAACCGTTCTTTTCCAGCTGCCTTTAGGCCCAAATGTCCCGTTTGTTTTGTAGAAATCTCAGATTTAACGAGTCTTCCTCAGTTTTAGGGTCAGGTAGGTGCCTGTGAGGTTGGCCTTAGGGTTTGTGGTCAGGGTTAGGCTGTAGAAATGACTGGAAATAAATGGAAGTCAATGAACGGTCCTAATAAGGATAGAAATACAAACCTGTGTGTGTGTTAGACAGATGTTCAGAGAACGTCTGCTKTGTTCTGCAGAACTCACACCTCCTCCCAGAAGAACTGGAGCGAATGCCCCCACTACAGCACAGAGAGACCAAACGAGTGCTTCTTCAGTGAGAACTACACATCCGTCTGGACCTTCTACAACCTGCAGCTCCGGTCCCAGGACCAGACGGTCCTCTACGACCAGCTCTCCTTCGTTCTGTCCGACATCGGTGAGTGTTACCGTCGTTGTTCGGCTGTTTTTAGTACGAGCTGTAGCAGAAAGCTGATGTTTCTGCTCTGCAGTGCAACCAGACCCACCTGTGGCTTTAAACTGGACTCTGCTGAACTCCAGTCAGACCAAGACGCACTTCGACGTCATGTTGAGGTGGAGACCCCCGAGGTCCGCCGACGTGGAGACAGGCTGGATGGCTCTGCAGTACGAGGTCCAGTACCGCAGCGAGGACTCTGACCAGTGGGAAACAGTGGGTTCTGTTCACCTTAAAACCCTGCAGCGCTTTGTTTACCTGTGTGTTTACCTGTTTGTTTACCTGTGTGTTTACCTGTGTTTACCTGTGTGTTTACCTGTGTGTTTACCTGTGTGCTTACCTGTGTTTACCTGTGTTTACCTGTGTGTTTACCTGTGTATTTACATGTGTTTACCTGTGTGTTTACATGTGTTTACCTGTGTGTTTACATGTGTTTACCTGTGTGTTTACCTGTGTGTTTACATGTGTGTTTACATGTGTGTTTACCTGTTTGTTTACCTGTGTGTTTACCTGTGTGTTTACATGTGTGTTTACCTGTTTGTTTACCTGTGTGTTTACCTGTGTTTACCTGTTTGTTTACCTGTGTTTACCTGTGTGTTTACATGTGTGTTTACCTGTTTGTTTACCTGTGTGTTTACCTGTGTTTACCTGTTTGTTTACCTGTGTGTTTACATGTTTGTTTACCTGTGTGTTTACCTGTTTGTTTACCTGTTTGTTTACCCCACAGATGGACCTGGTGAAGAGCACTCAGCGCTCTCTGTTCGGCCTCCAGAACAACCTGAACTATCAGGTCCGGGTTCGGTGTAAAATGCTCGGAGGGAAATTGTTTGGAGAGTTCAGCGACTCGGTGTTCATTCACGTCCCGTCTAAAGGTAACCTCACCTGAGCTTTGACCTCACCTGAGCTTTAACCTCACCTGAGCTTTAAACTCACCTGAGCTTTGACTGAGGAAAGGTCAAAGGTCAACAGGAGTCACACCTGAATAATAAAACACTAGATTTAACTTTATCTTTTTCTTGCTGAGTCACAGTTATAGTTTTAATGACGTCATTGTTTTCCTGTTTGTCTGTTAAACTACTTCAGCTGATGAACAACATAACAGCCGAGGATTTTATGCTTCTTTAATATTTAACTTTATTTACTTTTCTTTGTGGAATGATTGGAGAAGTTTTAAATTCCTAGAAAGACTGTGCTTTTAGAATTCTACTTTAGCTTTTAGCTACTGTTTTTTTTTATTTTAGCTGTTAGCTACTGTTTTTCAGGTTTTAGTTGTTAGCTACTAATGTGGTTGTTTTATTTTATTAATAGTGTTCTGCTCGTTTTAGCAACAGTTTTGGTAATTTAAACTTAGACTTTTAGCTAAAATTAGCATCTCGCTAACATTTATGTTATTTTGCTGGTTTTAGCTTCTCTAATAACTATTTTTCTTTTTAAATGTTAGCATTTAGCTACCATTTTCTGGTTTAAATTGTTAGACATTGTGCTGGTTTCACCTCCTGTTTGGTCTTTTTGGTTTCTTTGGTAGTTTTAGTTTTTAGCCAATGTTTTTCTGGTTTTAACCTTTAGCTAATAATCTGCCAGTTTTAACTTTTAGATGCTGTTTTGATGGCTTTAGTTACTGTTTCACTAATTTTAGCTTTTTGCTTCTGGTTTTTCTGCTTTTAACTAACATTTTGTTAATTTTAGCTCTTAGCTTCTTCTGCTGATTGTATTTGTTTTAACTTAAACTGAGCTTTAACAAGCTTCGGCTGTTGTCCGGCGCTCACTCTGGAAACTTATTTTTTTAGTTTTGATCAAACTTTGGGATGAAACAACTAGAACTGAATCAACTTTAGTGGTTTTGTATCTTAGTGACAAAACACGTAGCTTTAGCTCGCTGTTTCGGCTGCAGGTCACGTGTTTTTAAGCTGTGATTTTCTGAATGTTTGGTGAGTTTCTCTGCACTTTTCTTCCAGCAGTGTCCAGATTTCCGCTGGCGGCTCTGCTGATCTTCGGAGCGTTTTGCTTGGTGGCCGTCCTGATGTTGGTCATCATCACACAGCAGCAGAAGTAAGAAGGAATTCAGCAAAACTTCTGTTAACCTTCGGCCATAAAATACCAYAAAACACCTTAAAAAGTACACWAATTAAATGAAGTACTGCTTTTGAACCCTTTAGAGTAAATTCACAAGCTTGGTCTCTTTTTAAAGCTAATAATCTGGATTTTAAACTTCAGCAGTCATATTCTTTGTAACTGTAA